CTCTCTCTCTCTCTCTCTCTCTCTCTCTCTCTCTCTCTCTCTCTCTCTCTCTCCCGGAAAGGAACAGAAGTAACTGTGCTGAATCCAAGCTGAGCCTCAAGTGTGTACTTCCACTTTCTCTCTTGAACCCGCCACTGCTGGCTGAGCGTCGGCCAACCCGTGGGAGGATGAGTGACTGCAGACAGCGGGGATGAAATATCCCAACCAGTGGTATCCTAGGTCACCCAGCCCCAGGTAGTTCACTGTGTCTGGTCCCAAGACCAGGTTTTGCTGACCTTTTATCTAAAGAAATGCGTTACCCACAAAGGCGTTAGTACCCACTCTGCGATGCCAGTAGCTTCACGGTAGCTCATCTCCATCACTCCGGGGAGTGGGGAAGGGAGAAAACCAGCTTACTCATAACAGGAGATAAGAAGGGGCTGGGGATAGGGCTCAGTGCATAGGACGTTTGCCTAGCAAGCCCAAATTTGGAACGTCATTACCAAATAAAACTGGGCATGGCTAGCACATGCCTGGAATCTCAGCACTTGGGATGTAGAGGCAGGAAGACGAGAAGTCAAGGTTATCTTTGGTTACATAGGAAATTTGAGACCAGCTTTGGTTACATGAAACCCTACTTTAATTAAAAAAAAAAAAAAAAAAGGAAAGAAAGAAAAAAGGGGAATTGACACAGTACCGAGATTGCACTGGGCAAGAACCACACGGAACAATAAAAAAAATTAAAAGCTGCTTCAACCCCAGTGGTTGTTTGGTTAATGCTACAGGCCAGAATGATCAAGCAATGTTTCATTTCCCAGCCTCTAACCTCTAATACTCATTTAACAAACGCACGCTGCATGTCTCAGTGAGGATGGGGCGCCACTCGTTCCTTGCCTGCTTGGAGTTCCCCGAGTGTATTGTGCTGTTTCACGCCTCCCTAACTCTGCACACAATGTTCCTTCTGCCTGGAACACTCTTAGCCCTCTTCTCTCACTGGCGAACGCCTACTCACTGAGCAGAGCCGAGCTCAAGGATACTGCCTCTTGGAAGACTTCCCCAGGAGCACCTCCACCTCCTCGCCCTCAACCTCCGGCCACACGCGCGGTCTCAGCATTCACTCTGCCAGCCTAACAATTAAAGCAGAAAATGCTTCTATGGCACTGGGCACTCACTGTATGCCGATGCTGTTCCACGGGATCATTTGATTGAAATTTTCCATATCCTCGCGTCTTTCCCCAAGGCGGGCGTATGTTCCGCGCTTCGTGCTGGGTTCTTCCCACCTGTTGGGCAAACAAGTTATGCAGTGATGTGTCACATAAACCGTACACCCACTGAGGTCACCTATGGCATCGTTTCACGTGTGCAGACTCCAGAGCAGATTCTCAGGGGGCAGCGGATGAGCGACTGAAAAGAACAGACACTTAAACAGCCCAGAACACCTCTCGGCCGTCTTCTCGGCTCTCCACAGGGACAATCACGTCCAGGAACGTTTTAGAGGATGCTGTTATGATTATCATGGTGTTCCATATCAGGGATGGAAGGTATCAAGAATTCTCTGATAACTTTCCAAGGATGCACGGCTAGTGTGTGAGAGAACCGCTCCCAGGGGCTGTGCTCACAACCACAGGAGGGGAGGGAAGCTAGGCTGACTCAGCACGAATCCATTTCTATCCCCAAAGGGTGAAACTTTGAGGATACAAATGGTGTGGTGGGCATGACCGGATGCTCGGGCTTGATCGCCCATAGGCTTGCACTCATGTGGGCACTCGGTGCTCAGTGTGAAGAGGTGGCAGTAACTGATGGTACCTCCAAAGGGTTTCCTGTTGCCATGTGTGCTCAGCATGGTGCCTAACATCCCACATACGCTGTTTAAGGCCTCCCTGACAGCAGGCCGAGTCTTGCGGCATAACCCCTATGCTGGTCCAAGGCCACTTTACAAATGAGCATCTGGAAGACAATTACTTGGAATTGTCTATGAGGCTGCTGAACCTGGCTAGGCACTGGCACTTTCTGTAAAAACACAATGGCCAGCTGCTCATGGAAGCTTTGGTAGTCCCCAGGGGGCCTCCCAGGCAGAGTGCCTCTCAGTGACACAGATAAAGGCAGGGACACACAGTGACCGACCACAGCTGTCTCGGTACAGACCGGCTCTGCTGAAAAGACAAAGAACAGATACTTGGAATTTCGCTTCTGAGACAAATACGACCTTGGAAAATGTTAGGTCTGAGCACTGGGACATTAGAACAATGGAAATGACCAGTTTCTGCAGCCCCTTCATGTCCACAGTCCCTTTAAATTCAGACAAGTCCATTTTCTGCTTCTCAGTCGTGTCCAACCTGTGCTCTACAGGCCGTGTGAAACCAAGATAGCCATGGATGTCGCCTACAGTATTTGTGGATGACACCATCACGTTGCAAGGTCAAGAGATTGGGCGCCCCTGCAGATAGCCCTCGCCCTAAAACTGGACCCTCTCTAATGGTTTAAAGGGCCAAACAGTGGCCAGAATGACCTCCCACAGGTTCTGAGTCCTTAGCACAAACACAACAGAGGGAATAAGAACTCCAGGACCCCAAATATCCACCTGCCCTATGAGCCTGGACAAGACTGTGCCCACTGGCTTTCCTCCTGGTGAGGAGCTTCTCCTAAAGACACTGATGGCCTGGCTGGAAAATGCTAGAAAATCCATTTGATTTGTATACATTTTCAGGGCACCGTGTAGAACTGATAGCACCTTGCTTTCCAATTAAAATCATAACCCAACTGTTGTGCTTACCACCTCCAGATTAACAACTAAAAGTCTTTTGTTTGGTTCACTGGCAAACTTACTTTCCCAACTGACCATACACTCCCTGAGAGTCAAGATCGTAATCTTACTCCTTTGGACTCCTTCATGCAGACAATATGTCACAGTCCTTGGTGGAGGTCAGAGGGACAGAGGACAGAGACACCCACCAGCCCGCCCGTGCTCGCACACCCAACTCCGGCTCTGTGGAGGTCTTGAGGAGCACTTAAGTCTGAGATGCAATTTCCTCATCTTTAGATCCCTCTCTGGCCTTCTGCCTGTTGGGAAGATCAAATAAGATAATGCATGAGAAAGTATTGTGTAATCCAAGAACTGCCAATGACTGAAATGTAAGGAACCCTTGGAGAGGCACTTAGTAAATATCTGATTGATTTTTAATGATAAGGTATTGTCTCTCCTCTTCTCCACAATCAGTCCCTTTAAGGATTTTATTTCCTAGAATTTAATTTGATTTGAGTAGCAAAGCCACTTCCCATTCTCCTGATAGTGCGTACTTGCCCCCATAGTCACCTTAAAATCTGATTGTAATCTAAGCAAACCAACCCCAGAGAAGTCACAAAGCACGCTACTGTCACGTCAATCACCCGGGATTCATGGGAACAAACACATTCAGACCTCACTTCAATTTCAGGACCTTTCTTGTGCTGCTTTCAGACTATGACAAGTGTACCCGAAGGAAGGATTATGCATCTTTCTGTTGTAGCACACTCAATGGACACAGTTCTAAGCGTGTATCATCACTAAGTCGGAGCTAGCGGGGAAGATGAGAAACAGCACGCCTCGTGTGAGAAATTTCACAGCGGTGATACTAGAATATGGTCTCTTAGAAGAAACCACTTATTTGTAGTCTTCGTTCTGAATTTGTTCTTAGCAAAGACAGCACTCCTGCTTATCAGAGAATCCTAGATCATACATTAGAAGTCTTTCAAACACGGACCTTGCTCAAGGGGCTTTTAGAAAACATTCAGTGTAGTTTCTGGCTTTCTTCTCTTTAGCTAAAAAAGAAACCAAGAAACAAAAACAAGAGACACAAGGAAACAAGTAAGTTGTATATGCCAGGTATGAGTTTACATCTGATTTCCCATCTAGTTCACTGGGACCAAATGCCAGGAAAGTAAAAATAACTAGATTTTATAAAATGGACAAAACCCCAAATAGCTAAAGAACCATTGGCTCGGCTTAAGTACTAGCATCTCTCACTGAATAGTTCAATGTCCATTTTCAAACGCTACTTACGAAACTGCATGAGCCTATGTCCCTTCCAAGTTCAACCAAAGTGTGAGCCATTGGATTTTTGTGCTGGTGTGAAAAGTGTCATTAACAATATTGAACTTGGGCCAGTTTTGAACAATACAATCGATTTATGAAGCCCCCTTTAGGGGGCTGCCTTCCAGAGGAGCTAATCACTCTAAAGCGCTTATCTGTTGTGTGGTATTTTGTATTCTGACAAATAAAGCTTGTTTGAAGTCAAAGGGTGGAGCTAGCCACTAGTTAACCATAGAGGTCCAGAGGTCTATACAGAGAGGAGACAGGAAGTGATAAGGCGGGGCTGAGACAGGATCTTGGCCTTTTTAGACAGAGGAACAGAAGGGATAGGAAGGGATTGTTCTCTCTGCTTCTCTGATCTTTAAGTTTTTGCCTCAGTATCTGACTCCTTCGTGTTCTTTTCTTTTTTTGATAAAGATTAATGAGATTTACACTTCAGTTGTCTGTGTTAAATACACCAAAGATAGAAAGAATAGTAAACAAACTGACAGACAAAAACCCCAAACTCATCGTCAAACATTTGACAACTGTAGATATAAAGCCAATCTTGAGAGCCTTAGTTTGTCTTTGAGATGGTCTTACTAGGTAGCTCTAGCTGGCCTGGAACTCCCATTGTAGACCAGCCTGGTCTTAAACCTGCATTGACCCACCTCTCCTAGGCCTCTAGAGTGCTGGGATTACAGGCAAACACCACCACATCTGGACTCTGTGTTTAGTACCCGAGAGGGAGGCTAGGACCTTGCACATGCTAAACATACATTCTCAGCTCCTGAGGGTTTAGTTTTTTAGCAGATATTAGTAGTAGCCATATGAGATATCAAAATTCACCTTAATGTTCAAACCTGATAGCAAGCTTATCCATCTTTATTTTCCTCTAATTAATTCTATTTTCAACAGACACTTTCTTTCTTACTCCCAAAGCTTTCCCATTTCTCCTGAGGCTGGTAGGAAGCCAAGCTCCCTTCACAGTCAGACCAGAGAGAAAATACTTAAAGGGAGATGTGGTAGCTCGAAATTTTTACTCATTTATTAACTATTCTCTTCTGAGACATGGCCTCTCTGCCTGAATAGTTGAGGAAGTCGGTGGTGTTGGGAAGGCAGTCATTTCCAGCAGTGGAACTGGTTCTCAGACCCTCTTTTCTGGTGACACAGGGGCTCTGGGGAGTGGCAGACACTATGGGGCTGGGGTAGGGCTGTCCTACTGCAACCTCAGTAGTAAAGGGAGACACCTCCAGGGGCAGATATCATAATCCATGAATTTCAGCGCGGACGGCTTCTCGTATATGCAGGTTATTTATTTATTTCATATATATTACTAAATGTTTTCTCAGAATACAGTTTGCTATATGGAATCATCATTCTAAGACTTACCAAAGCCTACATCCATTTACAGTCAAATCATACTTATATGTGATCTAAAATACCTTAATAAAACAAATGAGAAGAGAGAAGTTGGGTAGAAGCTGTATAGCTTTAATAAAAGTTGAATTTCTCCTTTTATACTGTTCCTGTGGTTAAAAAAAAAGCCAGCAGCTTTCCTATCTAACTGGTAACATTGAAGCATTTGGTTAATTTTAGGATCCTTGATTGCTATTGGGAACAAGCATACTGCTGAGGCATGAAGTGGAAGGTGTAATTGGGAACCAGACAAGAGACAAAAGGCTTCCTTCACAAGCATCACACTCAAAAAATGTAGAAAGCAAAGAAAAGAGATCAGCGATTTCACTGAGTAACATAAAGCTACATTTCCCATGCAAGTAAGTTCCTGAAAGAGCCCAAACCGACAGTTACACAGACCTTCCATGGAAGGTTTTCAACCCCTTAGAGATCAAATGCAGGAGCAGCAAGATGACTCATCAGGTAAAGGTGTTTGCTGCCAAGCCTGATGCCCATCCCTGGGACTCAGATGGCAAAAGGAAAGAACTGACCTGATTCTCACAAATTGTCTTCTGATCGCCACTCAGCCATACACATTCGGGCAAGGCTATTATTAAATGCAACAGTAAAAATACAACAAGAAGGACAAAAACAGTCAGGTGATGGTGGTGCACTCCTTTAATCCCAGCACTTAGGAGGGAGAGGTAGGTGAATCTATCTCTGTGAGTTTGAGGCTAGCCTGGTCTACATAGTGCGTTCCAGATCAGTCAGGTCAGGGCTACATCGTGAGATCTCTCTCTCTCTCTCTCTCTCTCTCTCTCTCTCTCTCTCTCT